AACACTAGTTCACACTCACATTTTATATATTCACCACATGCATGACTTTAACTTTTAGATCCTTACTTTCCCTTTGCCTCAATCCCTTAAATATACTATAAAGATTTCTATAAACTCCCTAAAATTCTTACTCCTGGAATAAGGCAATATAAGTAAGTATAAATACTTTTTAAGGCAGGACACTACACAAAAAGTCTAAAACATTTTTACCTGCAGAAGATAGTGGCTTTACACCTATAGTAGAGGTAGTAGTAGCTGGGTCTGTGTTTATTGAGGCCTCATTCACCTTCTGCTGAATTCCAATTTTCTTTGTGAAGACATTATTGTTATTGGCCTATTCAAAATGTTAACAATAAATTATTAAATGAATTCTATTTTCACCCTTCAGCCATTATGTAAATAATCATATCAAAAATCCTGAAAGTCCACAAAGCTACTAACTGTCCTAAAAGCCAGCAAAGACTAAAGTTACACACACCACTTTACTCATATTACAAAAGAGAAAACCTTATGTTTTTACTTGTCAAAACATCAAAAGACCACCAAAGTAGAAATCTCACAAGTTTTCTACTACAAAGTCATAAAATACTTAAAGGCCCAAAACCAAAATCTATACATTTGGTTCATAGTTAAAGTGTAATTTTTTTTCTTTACAAAAGCCTTCCCACTTTATCGCATGCATTTCTTGCTTCTTTTGTCTCCTTTCAGATTTCAAAAAAGACAGAAAATAAAACTGTCTTTACAGTAAATGTGGCTAGTAAAGAAAACTGTGGTGCTTTTCAACTTCGGGTTTTAAATGTGTTTCTTCACTTCCAAGACTCCATTACATAAAAAACCTTATATTTAAGCACAATTTGGGGACCCACATTAAAACACACAGACATCAAAGCAGGGGCAATATAATTGATTTTATTAAATCTGCCTTCCCACCCTCAAATGGAATATAAAACGATTAGCTGATGATTTTTAACTCTTCCGAATCTAGTGGATATGAATAGGAGGAAAGAACTCACCAATGACAATTTGTAAATGGTGAACCCCCCACCAAAGACAAACGTCATTGTCACAAAGAGGGACTTGGGACTCGATAGTATATAATGAATATTTAAGTGAAATATACATTTAATCAACCTAAGAAGAAAATGGTGAAAGGAAGGCTCTTTTTTCCCCTGCTACTGCCCTTGCTTCCTTCATTGGTTCTCCAGTAAATAAAAATACCAGATATTAAAAAATTATTATTACAGTCCTGGACAGTTTTTCTCAGTGGTTAGAGTGTCAGCCCTCAAACTGAAGAGTTGCAGGTTCAATTCCCAGTCGTCAAGGGGACATACATCAGTTGCACGTTTCCCAGCCCTTGGTAGGGGCACATGTGGGAGACAACCAAACCATACGTTTCTCTCACGCTGATGTCTCTCCCCGCCCCAGCATCCCTCCATTCCACTCTTTCTAGAAATCAATGTAAAAAATGCCCTCTGGTGAGGATTAAAAAGAAAATTTTAATCATTACAGTATTAGGCCAATGACATGAAATCAAGCAGAGGTAAATTATATTAAAAAGAATGGTATTTTCAAGATAATAAACTAGAGGCCCAGTGCATGAAATTCATGCACGGGTAGGGTCCCTAGGCCTGGCCAGCGATCAGGGCTGATCTGTGGGGAGACTGGTGGGGAGATCAGGGGAGCCCTGCTGGCACCTGCCTTGGTCGGCCTGGTGCCGCCCACTTGCAGACCCCACCCCCCGCCTCCGCCGCTGGTCACCACCCTCTGCCAGGTGACTGGCAAGGCGATTGGGGGGCCCCCCCGCTGGCACCAGCCTTGGCTGGCCTGGGGCCTGCAGGCAGCTCCTGCATTGAGCATCTACCTCCTAGTGGTCAGTGCATATCATAGCAACCGGTCATTCTGCCGTTTGGTCAATTTGCATATAAGGCTTTTATTATATATTATGATTTAATTGCAAACAAAAATATTGATAAAAGAAATGTTTCACTATGTATGAATTCTGTTATACTTACTGATTGGTCTGAAAGTTTGTTTATTTGTTTTTGGAGCCTCTGGCATTCCTTGAATTTTTCTTTATAATGATCTGCTGCCATCTGAAGACGAAGTTTCAGATCTTCAACTTCTCTTCTCAGTTCATGTTCCAGTGTATCAGTTTTTTCCTAAAAAAAAAATAAACAACTCCTCTAAGAAAAAGATAAAAATTTTCTATCATAACAGTAGAAAATTCAAACTTCATTTTCACTTTTTTCTTTTTGGCTTTTTTTATCATTAAATATGTTTTTATTGATTTCAAAGAGGAAGGGAGAGGGTGGAGGAGGAAGAGGGAGAGAGAAAGAGGGAAGGAGGGAGAGAGGGAGGGAGAGAGGGAGGGAGGGAGGGAGGGAGAGAGACAGACAGACAGAGAGAGAAACATCAGTGATGAGAATCAATGATCAGCAGTTACCTCCTGCACACCACCCCCTACTGGGGACCAAGCCCACAACCTAGGCATGGGCTCTGACTGGGACTTGAACCATGACCTTATGGTTCATAGGTCACTGAGCCACACCGGCCAGGCTCTGTTTTTATTTTGGAGATTTAGCTATAGGGCCATATCAATTAGTTCTCCTAATAAATCCAGCTCTATATTCTTACAACTAAGATTCATTAAAAAACTAGAGAAGAATAATCCACCTCCTGAGGAGCAAGTATTACTCTGTTAAATAACCATAATACCTTTTATGCAGCTAGTAAATAAGAAATTCCAACAAAGTAATATATGCCTGACATCAGAAAGTTTAATTAGCAATAATAGACCAGCTTTTATTAACCATTAGGAATTTGCTTACAGCAGTTTTTCTTAAAGCATACATTAATTTCAACCCAAGAGGTTTCAATGACTAAACAAAATGAATGGAAACTTAAAATTCTGATGAGGAATCTGACTTGATTTATTTTAACGTAACTCACTCTTACAAGTTTTGATCAAAATGGAAACTCAAAATTAACTTGCTTTTACCTGGTCTTTTTTCATAGCATTTAGTTTAAGTTCTGCCACTGCATCAGCTAACTGCTTTTTTACTTTCTCATTTTCCAAGCGTGCAGTATGTAGATCAGCCATCGTTTTATCTCGCACATTTACAGCATCACTAAGTTCTTTAGTCAGAAAGACAACTTCTTGTCGAGTTGCCTGGATCTGCTCCTCTGCTTTACGAAGTTGCTCCTTTAAGAAAAATGTATCTTCCTAAAGAAATGCAGATAAATATATTTATAATTAAAACATTCAATTAAAAAATACAAGCAGAAACTATTTTTACTCATATTTCAACAAATCCAAAATTTTAAATTAAATATTGCTCTTCTATTCAGAACTTAAAGTATATGTCTAGAAAAAACTAGGGATGTGACTTAAGTTTCCTCACAGAATACATATATAACAAACCTATGCACTGAATATCACTATTACCACTTTATACACAGGTAAACTGAAGTATAGGAAGTTCAGGCAACATATTCAGTGCTTTCATGGCCTGACTGAGACCAGAATGAAAGCTCTTGTCCCCCAGAATCTCTCCAGTTGGAAGTACTGACCTTCATTTTTTACAATCACCAATAAAAATAATTTCAAAAACTTGTAACTCAAAAAAATTTGTTTCAATTTTTTTTTGAGAGAGAGGAAGGGAGTGGGGAGGGAGGGAGGGAGAGAGGGAGAGAGAAAGAGACATTAATGAGATATTGAACCATACATTGGTTGCCTCACCCACACTTCCTACTGAGGATCAAGCCCACAAACCGGCATGTGCCCAGGAATCGAACAGGCAACCTTTCAATGCACGGGATGATGCCCAACTAAGCCCCACCAGCCAGGATGTAACTAAAAAAATTTTCGTTAAACAATGTTTCTACTATCTAACCTAAAAAATAACCAATATATTAATATACCATTACTTAAACTTAAGTTTTTAAAAAATATTGATATGCAAATAGAAAAGATGAGGCACTGGGGAAATGAAAAGTTAATTAAGCATTCCTTAAGCCTAAAAATATTGTTAAAAGTTAAAATTGCCATAAAATTATTTCCTTTTTTAACTAGACATTATGAGCTCAAAAAATCTAGTTCATTCAACTTTCCTATTTTCATCTCTGTACTAAAAATACTGTAAGCTCAGAAAAAGTAAAACCCATTCTTGGTTGTTAAACTGTTAGCTCCTTAGAAGGAATTGTAAATGATTATTTATGTAATGTTATGGTGGAGAAAATCTTTGTAGGTGTAACAGTATTAGATCTAACTATATAAATATTCTCAGCTTCCATATACCAAAATAGAAAAAAGGGGTAGTGAAGAAGGGAATAATACTTTCCAGTGGTTGGCAACTGCGGCTCGCGAGCCACATGCGGCTCTTTGGCCCCTTGAGTGTGGCTCTTCCACAAAATACCGACTTCTGCGCATGGGCCACGAAGTTTCAATCGCACTGTACGTGCGCACCCGCACGTGGTATTTTGTGGAAGAGGCATACTTAAGGGGCCAAAGAGCTGCATGTGGCTCGTGAGCCACAGTTTGCTGACCACTGGTATAAGCGACTTTTCTAATCAATAACGAAAACCCCAAACAATAAATAAATAAATAAAACTGGAGAAAAACATGAACATGGTATTTTTTAAAAAGAAATGGCTAGTATGTAAACCGAAAACACTCAACTCATGAACAATAAAATAGAAAAATTCAAACAAATACCATTCATCATCTTTCAAATTGTTAAAGCTTAAAGAACTGTAATACTCCAATATTTGGTTGGGGTTAGCAAAATCAACAAATTTATAAACAGTTGGACTTACATAATCTGTAAGTGGTATAACCTTGCTAATCAGATTTTTGCAACATTCATGAACACCTTTAAAAAGCACATGTCTTTTAATGTAGCAATTTTTCATGAGTTTCTAATAAAATTAATAACGGGTAGGAACATAGGTTTAAACTTTACAGGAATTCAATTAAATATTAATATAATGAATAATTATTAAATGACTAAAAATATGAGAATTTATTACAAATAAATTGATATATCCTCCACACAATGAAAGTCTACGCAGCCATTACAAACAGTAGCATGTATCATATACTGTTGGTATATTACTTTTTTTAAATAACTGAATATTTCAACACTCAACCCAACAATTGCACTTGGAGGAATTTATGCTACAGATTTATATGTGTATGTCTAGATATCTGTATAATAATTTTTACTGCAATATGCTTATAATAAAGACTGTACACAATTAAAACTGATTATATACTAAGTGAGCTGTAAAAGAGAGACACTACACAGCTGTTGCAATGAAGGAGAAAGATCTGTATGCTTACTCCTTTTGCAAGATGCCCAGACATTCCTTCAATTTTTTATAGGTTCTGAAATATTATATAACCACATTTTCGTTAAGTACATTTCCAAAAAAATTAAAAATTATATAATGATGTAAGTATTACAATGTCCCCTTCTTTTCCCCCATTGACCTCTTCTAGCCTGCCTCCATCCCACCCTCCAACCCAGGCCTTCACCACACTGTTATCTGTGTCCATGGGTTATGCATATATGCATGCAACTTCTTTGGTTGAGCTCTTCCTAGAGGGTTACTTTTACTTTGTACCTTCATATACTACTTGAATTCTCTTATTACCATGATACTATATTGCTTTTATAATTTAAAAAAATTTTTAACAATAATCATTTTTCCAGGTATTCCTTATGTATGTTTTTCCTCAGAGAAGTCTTGCTTTAATAGGAAAAGGATATTTAGAGAAATTTTTAGCATTTTATTAAACAACGAATAAGCAATCAAATACACTTTCACCTTTACATTTGCAATCTGCTACGTTAAATACCCTGAAAAGTAACTTGGACCTTAATCATCTATAATAATAAAAGCGTAATTTGCTAATTAGACTGGACAGCCAAACGACCTTGTGGACGTCCTTCTGGAAGTCCTTCCAGATGACCTTCCGGACAAAGCCAGGGCTGCAAGGGTCGAGCCCCTTGCAAGAATTTCGTGCATCAGGCCTCTAGTGAAATATAAATGTCATGAATGTCTGACATTTATATTAACTATGTCTGAGCATGTTTAATAGCAAACTACTGAAAACAACACAATACTCATCCATAAAAATTAATAAATCAATGTAAACCTACACAAAGTAGTACTATACAGCCATTTTTAAAAATTAGAAAGATCTCTATGAATTAATATGGAATGATTTCCAGTTTATATTGTTAAATGAAAAACAGCAAAGTACAAAATATATATAGCATGACATTTTTTTTAAGAAAGAAAGGGATCAAAAGGAGTATGTGCACACCAACACCTGCACATAAGCTTAATTTTTCCAAAAAAAAGCAGAAAGTAAAGAAAATGTTTACCTATGGGTATAAGTTAAAACAGGGATTTGATAAGGAAGAGATTGAGACATCAGAGTAAATTTTTTACATCATTTTGACTTTTGTATGATGCAACAATTTCACATATTCAAAAAATTAAATCAAAAGGTTAAGATTATGAAAACAAATATTAAACTTAAATATATACAAATACACTGAACTGTACTACAAATTCATAAAAAAGTTTTAAAATTTTAATTCAAGTAATCTGAACATAGCGTCCTATACTTCCTTAGTGAAATATACTCTACAAAAAGTTTTGGAATAGATCTTAATTTTATTTAGCAGACTTATTGTTGGAAGTGGCATTGACATAATTCTGAATTTATTGGCATATATAGCTGGGTAGAAAACAAATATAATGATGTTTTGGAAAAAGGGTTCTCACATTGGTAAAAGAGATCTATAATAACAAAAGCGTAACATGCAAATCAACCCAATGGCCAAACAGCGGAATAACTGTCCAGACAACCACACTGACACCTACTAGTGCCAGGCCAGCCAAGGCGGGTGCAATGCAGTTGGTCGGGGGGCCCCACCATCTCCCCACGATCACCCCGCAGAGGGAGGCCCAGGCCACCGGCTGGCAGGGTGATCAATGGGGGGACTCCACGATCGCCCAAAGGAGGAGGCCCAGGCCACCCTCTGTGGGACCATCAACCGGCGGGGCTCCACAGAACTGGGAAACCAGGGTATGTGGCAGCGGATTTGGGCAGTGCCAGGCCAAGGCAGGTGCAGGTGGGAGATGGGGCCGAGAGGCAGCTGGAGCTGTAAAGGCCTACCCTTGCATGAATTTTGGGCACTGGGCCTCTAGTATTAATATAAAATAGAGAAAGATATGGAAAGTCCTAGATTTGAAGTAAAGATATAAATTAAACACAAAATGTTTAATGAAAGTATAAGGAAACAACCCCTAGTAGCAACAGAATCCAGTTTCAAAATACCATTCCCTACCAAAAAAAAAAAAAAAAAACAGAGCTCCTTGGAAAAATGTCTAATCCCTAAAGCTGTTAACATACAGTTGTGCCACAAAACAAAAGCACTCAAAGCATTAAGGGATCGAATCAAAAAGACACAGAAGCAGATTTGAAAAGGTTCCCCCTCGCTAAATATGGGACTATTTGGGTATAAAAAAAGAATATTGATGATGACATAATACACTGAACAAAAAAGAATCCAAAGACCATAGTGATATAATAAAGGGGGAGATGGCAATAGTGAACTTCTCCTCATTATAAAGGAATACCTACTAATAAATGTGAAAGGAATGACAGAATTTTTAAGTCACCATTTTGCAATCATTAAAGTAGTAACTGATGCAGGTGAGGATCATCAAGGGATAAAAAACACTGGGTGAGAGACTACTAGGGAATAGGATGTTCACATGATCTCAAGTATTATCCCACAGATTACTCAATAATCACAGAAGGAAAGGCACTGATATATGAAGAGACAGGCAGACATAACTTTAAACAAATGAGTAAACCTAACATGATCAAGAATGAAATTAACACTGTGACCTTTGATATGACTGCAACAGAATGTACAAAACATCACCTATGCCTTTTCTTGCCAAAAATAAATGTTTGACCTGATCTAGACATGAAAAACAACAGACAAATCTAAATTATGGAACATTCCCTCAGACAAGCCTGAATTCTTCAAAAGTATCAATGTCAAAAAAGACAAAAAGTATAGGGACACTACTATAGATTAGAACAGACCAAGAACACAATACTAAATTTATATATGATCTTTGACCACGCCTGGATCAAGAAATTTTAAAGGTTAAATAAAAACATATTTGGGATAATTTGAATGTAGACTAGAACTAAATACAAAATGAATACTAAAAATCAGTGTTAAATTTCTTAGGTGTGCTAATGGTATTATGGTCATAATACCTGCAACTGACTTTCAAATGGCTCAGAAAAGGCATATATATGGGGGAGATAAAGACAGTTTGCCTTTATTTGAGAATATGTATTCATTGTTTCGTTCTTCCAACTTTCCTATAGTTTGAACTTCTTCAAAAGAAAAGGCTAGGGGAGAGAAGATTAAAAATATAAACCATCATATTGTATACATTTAACAGAGATAATGTTTTACAACCTTCAAATACATGCTGCAAAAGTACTTACCTTACTGGAGGTGGTAAGCAGGTAAGCCCTTTGCAGACTATCCTTTTCAGCCAAACAGAATTGTAGTCTGCCAATCTCTTCTTTGAAATGAGTAATCATGTTTTCTTTGTTCCCATCTAAATTCTTTAAAGTTTGGACCTCTGACACAAGCTTGGTATTTTCTATTTCTCTATTCTTCAAATGGACCTGTAACAGTGCTTAAAAATGTCAAGAATATTGTAACTCCATAACCTAAGTCAGTCCAAGTTTAAAATACCACTGTCTATCTCTAACCCAAATATGATTAAGGAATGGGAAGACTTACCAGACTTGGAGTCAGGAGACACAAGTTCTGCCAAGTGACTAGCTAACTATGTGGATTAACAACACAGCTTTTCTAAGTTTTTTTTTTTTAACTTTCCAAAGACACTAATAATTCTAAGATCTAATAATATTACCTGATCTCTAAAGTCTTTTCCTTTGATTTAATAATTTTAATTTCTCTTTAAAATCACAAATGGATTTGGTTGTTCTTTTGGCAAAACATTAGGTTACAGACAGATTCAGATATAAAAGCATAATGAGATTCTGGAAAACATCTTAAGCAATTCAATTTTTGCTTGTGAAAACTACTATATCACTTATTTTCTGTATGCCTGAAAATATATTTGTTGTTAATTAACCCAATAAATTTTTCCCAGAAACTTTGGCTGTGGCTGTTCGTTTGCTCACAACAGATATACAAATCAAAACTACTTTCCACTATAAAGGGTTCTCTTGCTTTGGTTAAGAGTACCAGAGATATGCCTTAGCTGGTTTGGCTCAATGGATAGAGCATTGGCCTGAGGACTAAAGGGTCCCAGGTTCAAGTCCAGTCAAGGGCACATGCCCGGGTTGTGGGCTCAATCTCCAATAGGGGCCATGCAGGAGGCAGCCGATCCATGATTCTCTCTCATCATTGATGTTTCGATCTCTCTCTCTCCCTTTCCTTTCCTCTCTAAAATAAATTTTAAAATATTTAAAAAAAAGAGTACCAGAGATAAATGAATTAGCATACTTCTTGCACTTTACTCTTTAAATGTATGGAACCTCCTGTTCCAAAAAAGCCATAAGGTGACTGCATCCTGAACTGCAACTACACAAGAGATCCTGAGCTGTAAAAACTCAGCTAAGCTGCTCCCAATTCCCAACCACTAAATAAGTTTTAGAGTAATTTTCTTATACAGCAATAGAAAAGTAACAGAAACGGAAAGAATAAATTACCTTATAAAGTTCCTTCTCATCCTTTTCTGTCTTCAACTGATATTCAAGTTGTTCTCTTTCACACTGGGCCTTCCTGAGTTTGTCCTTTAAACTGGGTTAAGGTCATGTAACATTAATATAGACAAAATAACTTCATTAAAACATTTTTAGAACATAAAGATATCTTTTAAAAGTGTCAGAAATACCTGTCTAATTCAGTTTCTTTTTCAATTGCTTTATTTGTCACTAACAGAATATCTTCCTCAAGCTTGACAGCTTTGGATGTAGCATAATTGAATCTCTTCTTAAGTTCTTCATTTTCCACTTTTAAATTCTCTGATACTTCAGTAAGTTCCTAAGAAAGAACAACAATAAAGTATTTTGGGAAACGTAATTAGTATGATAAAATATGCATCTTACAGAAATCTATGTATTCTTAAATTTTAATCCCAAATTTGTCCCCTCCAAAGTGTATAAACTAAGACTAAAAACTAAACCAAAAATTGTAACATACATCCAACTTTACATATACTAAATTAACTTTTTTCTTGCATTTTCATACACTCTTGTTGATTTCACTAACTTCTCCACCAGAGGGCAGGCAACGAAAATGAGAAAAAAAAAATTTAATTAGTCACTCTCATATTTTACATAGCACTTTTCAATGTTACCCCAATGACAAATCATGTTTCATGATACTACCAAGGTTAACACTCACTTTTTTCTCCCATTTTTTTTCAGCTACTAATTAAAATCCATCTGTATCTCTAATGAAACCACACTGTTTTATACTTACACTTCTTTTTTTCTTAGCTTAAGAAATTGCATCAATATTAGATATTTTTAGGATAATTTATGTCATTTCTCACATCAAGGATTTCAAAAGTTTGTCTAATACTACATCTCATTTCACTGAATTCTGATTTTTGGAAAAGTAATTTAACTACTTTATTCTATTTTCCCTTATTCAGTGTTTATCATTCCTAATTTTATTTCCAAGCCCTCCCCTCAAAATCAATCAAATACTCTACATTTAGATATAAAGCATCTAGAAATAGTTGTCAGGCACTATGTCATCAAGCCTGGTACCAAAAATCCAAAATTTTAATCATTTACAACATAAAAAAAGTTGTGATAGAAGGTTGATAGAAACTGATCTGTTTTTGTATAAATATCTGTCTAAATGCTATTGTTTTTCAACACAGAGTTTTCACTCACTGTAACCGGTTCAGTTCTTGTAAAAAGTAGGTTTCAGGCTATCAACTCCTATCAGTTACGTAAGACTCAACCAACCTTTTTCTCTGCTTGCAGTTGGTCACATTTCTCTTTTTCATGGTTAAGTTCTCTTTCCATTCTTTCAATTTGTTCTCGAAGTTGTGTTGTTTCTTTTTCTAGAACGGCAAGCAATTTTAACAGTTCTTCTTTTTCTTTCATGGTTTTCTCCATTTTCAACTGTAAAACAAAAAAACTCATACTGGGTCTTTTTTTTTTAAATAATCCTATAATGTTACAAATTGATTTCCCATTTCAAAAAAATAGTAAAGACATTCACAGAAAGAATTTTTACATACTACTTCATATCAAATAGCCTTATTTAGCATTCAGGTAGAAAAGTTCATGAATCAAAAGTTCATGAAGCTTCCTTTGGTTGGGCAAAGAAGAAAAAAATTAAAAGTACAGTTAATGAATTTTATTATTATGTTTCCTACTGATCACTTTTCAAGTCAGTACTAAAAATAAGGCTTCATAAGTGACTTAACTCTGGGCATATCTTGAGTAATAATTTGGAAGAAAATGTATACCTCTTCCTGAATGCAAATTATGGGAAATTGTTGAATCTATTAAGAACTTTCTTATGTTACATAAGGTCTTCACCTAGAGATTACTATTAAAAGGTTCTTTAAATAAGGTATTAGGAATAAATTTCAATGTGATGCCTTTTATGTGGCATAAAATAAATTAAAAAAACTTTATAAATAAATGCAAATTTTAGGACTAAAATGAGGACTATAACATTATATTAATTCTTATGGAAACACTAATAGTTATTCTGTTCAGGAAATCTAAACTCTAATATTCTAAAAAATTAATGAATTAAGGGACCTAAAATGGTTAACACTTCTCTTACAGGCAGACATCACTAACTCTAATGAGGGAAGATTGTATATTCAGAGGAGGCATCGTATACATTTAGCTAAAATAAAATGGGCCTGGCCGACATGACTCAGTGGTTGAGTGTCGACCTATAAACCAGGAGGTTACGGTTCAATTCTGGTCAGGGCATATGCCCAGGTTGTGGGCTCGATCCCCAGTGTGGGGTGTGCAGGAAGCAGCCAGTAATGCCTCTCCCTCTCATCACTGATGTTTCTATCTTTCTCCCTCCCCCTTCCTCTCTGACATCAATAAAAATGTATTTTAAAAATAATAATTAATAAATAAAATGTATGCCCAACAATAGACCCCAAGTCAGTTTTCCAGGGTCATGGAACCAAACTGATTAAAGTCTAAAATGGTTCTTATGGACGTTGAATGGCTATAAGTTTTTAGAATGACCCTTCTACCTCATTCATCACACCAAATGAAAATGACAGGAGTAAATACCCTCAAAAGAGAACACTTGATTTATTTACTGAACGTCTTTCATACCTTGCCTATTTTATTTTTTATAATGACTTTTGGCTCTAAACTTTCTCATAGCTTAAAATATAGATACATCTTGATATACTGCAAAAGGAACATTATAAAGAACCACTTTTCCCCAGTGATTCATTTAACTGGCACATAAATTCAAATTAGATTAAAATGGATACAAGTCAACTTCCTGCCCCCAATTCTGTATTGTGAAATCTTTCAAGCACATAGCAGTTAAAATTTTACAATGAATACCCATATATCCATCACCTAAATTCACTAATATTTTGCCATTTTAATTTTATTTCCCTTTATATTCAGTACTCAATTGATTTATGTAATTGTGGAGGAGGGGAACTAAAATAAACCATTTGAAACAAAATTGCACACTTCACCCCTAACTACTGAGAGCAAGCATCTCCTAATAAGAACAATTTCCTATTCAACCACTACCATTATAATAGTTAAGAAAATTAGTAATTTTTTAAAAACTCCAGGATCCAGTCAAGATTCACACACTGAAGCATTATATTTTATGTATCACTTTTAATGCCAATAGTACCCTAGACAATGTCTCACAGATCTACTATTTTTGTGCAGTTTTAGATAAAATCATGAAAGATTTTGCTGAATGTGAAAATTTAAAAGACTTGTCCAAAACTTGGTCAGAATATAAAAACATTTTATCTCAGAAATATTTCCCTAAGAGACAGCAATTTACATTTCTTTATGAAGAAGAAGTGAAATAAATTGTATGGTGTCCCAATTTACTTAGAAAACGTGCACAAGATATGCAGATGCCATTACGCCCCTTCTTCTGTTAGTGGCCCTGAAGTCAGGGTGGTCTAGCAAGTATTCAAGAAGCTGCAATGTAAACTAACTGCATTCTTCTTAAGAGCTGGGCTTGTTTCAGCATCTTTGACTAGCATTCAAATACCAGGCTAAAAACCTTGATCATCAGGCAGTTGTCAACACAAAATGTTTCAGTCAGCCTATAAAAGTTACATTTCTTTATTTAAGATAAGAGAAGAATTTCTGGAAGGGGGAAGGATAGATATGGAAGAATTCACACACAAAAAAAGAAAAAATAAAGTATGTTATCTATAACCTCTTGTCTTTTTTCTCTAATCTCAGTTTATTA